AATTATGCAAGTTTAGAAGAGTTGCTTAGCCTCCCAGCTTTACTTTCTTTCATCTTTAAAATAAGGAAAAGAATACTGTCTCTTAGGATTTTTAGGAATATTAAAAGTGAGATAACATATTAAGACAAAACACAAAGGCTTTAATAAATGATATTGTGTTTGTGATTTTGCATATGGCTGTATTTATATACATTTATTTTATTATAAACATAATTTGTATTTAAAATGGTTATGAAATTAGAGGCCATGCTTTCTTGGGCAAGTTAATAAACCTAAATGAAATTGATTTTTCATTTCTTTCTTCTTTTTTGGGAGAGGATTTTGCTATAGGGTACGTACACTCACCAGGAAGATTGAGACAGAGAGACAGAAAGTGAGAAATCACCCCCCAGGGGGGATAGCCATGCTGCAATCTCTTCTCCTCCATTCTCCTCTTGGGATTTTGGGCACACACGTACATGCACCCGGTGTGAGTTGAAGCCACTGGGTCCGGGACTCAAACCACGGTCGACTACATGGGAGTCCAGTGACATAGCCATTATGCCAACTGCTGGTTCCAATTGATTTTTTCATTTCTATGTAATAGGAATAATGGTAATTTCTATCACCAAGGTTAATAATATCTATTTTATGAGTATAAAATAATAAAGATCTATATGTATCATGTAGTACCATGAGATGTTCAATATTATTATTATTATTATTATTATTTTTTTTTTTTTTGGAGAGGTTTTTGCTATGGGGTGCTTGCACTCACCAGAAAGACAGAGACAGACAGAAAAACAGAAAGCGAGAAATCACCCCCCCCAAGGGGGACGGCCACACTGCAATCCTTTCTCCATTCTCCTCTCGGGATCTTGGACGCACATGGCGTGAGTTTAAGCCACCAGGTCCAGGACTCGAACCACAGTCGATTATGTGAGAGTCCAATGACATAGCCATTACGCCAACTGCTGGTCCCTATAAATGAATTTGTTTGTGTTAATTTTGTTCCCTAGCCATAGTACACAATTCTTTTTATTGTTTCTAATAGGTTTTTCAGTTGATTATCTTGTGTGTCTAAATATATGATCATATTATCTGCAAAAGATATTGAGTTTATTAGTTCTTTTTTGAGTTTTATACCTCTTTATTTCTTCTTGTGTAGTGTTATCATGTGTGACCTTTGAAAAGCTGCTTAATAATGATAGACTTTTTTTTCTCTCCTTTATTTGTATGAGGATATTTCCAGTGTTCTTAAGTATGATGCAGGCTTTGTATATTTTTAAAAAATAATTATAAGGAAATAGTATTTATGAGTTTTTAAAAATACTGGTTCCTATTTTCTTAAGTTTTGAAGATAAAGTTTATGTCTTTTCAAAATTTTGCTATGATCATGTGGGAGTTTTGATCTCTCTGTGTGGTAAATTACCTTTCTTACATTTGAACCATCCTTGCAGTTCTGGCTTGAATTCACTTTGTCAGAGTATATTGCTCTTTAACACACTTTCAGAATCTGTTTGCTAATATTTTATTATGTGCTTTTAAAGTCAAGTGATGCAGATATCTAATCAGAATTTATAGCGAGCATTTCAGGAAAAATCAGGTGTTTTTTTATTTTATTATTTTTATTTCCCCAGTTCAAAGTACCTGCTTGAGGAAACCATGTTTTCTTATCTAATTCCTTGAAATTATATTGAAGTTGAAATCTCCATGCTTTATCTGGCAGTCATTTTTAGTACCTTCAAAACAGATAATCTGATAGGCATTTCTATAGTCTTGTCAGCCACTCATTTGAAAATCCTTTCCCAGCCATATGTTTCAGCACATTCTTTCTTATCTATTCCTTCCAACGCTTTTTGCCTTGACATGCTGCTGTAGGTTAACACATGCTGTGATTTATGTCCTAACTCATAGACCCCATGCCCTCTGACTCACCCATCCATCATTTTTCTCATCCATTTCTTTCTCTACCCTTCAACTATACTATATACTCTGAGGCTTATATACACTATTGGAGGAGTCATTCAAAATTTCAACTCTAATTACCAAAGAAGAAAACATTAAACTGGAATTAAGTTGTAGAAAATAACTATGCTAAGGCTCAGTTAGCCACATATGTTTAATGTTGGACATGTTTGTGAAAAATTCTACAGTAATGCGTCATTTGTTCAACACATATACTAGAATGATTCACCTTTTTTAAAAAAGTTTATTTATGTAGTCCATGTGAATGAGAAAATGAAAAAGACGAAGAGGGACAGAAATACAGTATTCATGAAAGGTTCTTGGTGCTTTAATTTACCCCCAACTTCAGCCATCCTGGATCATGGGCACATGCAATACCTGGTGTACTCTGGGAGTTGTCTAGACATGAACCAGCAACCTTCTTGTGTAGGTCTGCCTGCTGAGCCACTGTCTAGTCCTGATTAGCTATTTTCAGTCCTCTGGTACAGAGTAGGCACTCATTCATTTTTTGAGTATCTGAATATTTGTTTCCATTCATGATAAATTGCCACTAATCTTTTACACCTTATTTTGCTTTTATAAAAAAAAAATATATATAGGTATTCCAGCAGTTAGTGTAATGGCTGTGTTGCTCGACTCCCATGTAGTTGACCACGGTTCAAGTCCAGGACCCGGTGGCTTAAACTCATGCCGGGCACGTGTGTGTGCGTGCCCAAGATCCCGAGAGGAGAATGGAGGAGAAGGGATTGCGGCGTGGCCATCCCCCCTGGCAGGTGATTTCTCACTTTCTGTCTCTCTGTCTCTCTCTCTCTCTCTCTCTCTGGTGAGTGCATGCACCCTATAGCAAAAACCTCTCCAAAAAAAGAAAAAAAAATTTTATGTAGTAATAATGAAATTTATTGAAATGTGGACATGGCTTAGCTCCTGTAAGAGATATTTGTGTTTATATGTCATGTATCTAATTTTTCCCTCATCAAAATCTTAAATCAGAAGACCATGCTTTATTTATTCCTATGTTCTTCACTGTAAGCACATTATTTGTAGATCTATCTTGATAAATATTTATTAATTTGAATTCTTTTTTTAAAAGAATTCTTTTCTTTATTATTGTTATTATTATTTAATTTGATCAGAGAGAAAGGGAAAGTGAAAAAAACAGGCTGCGGAGTCCAGGTCTTAAACCATAGTCGGCCATGTAGGAGTCTAGCATCTTAACCACCATACCACCTGTGGTCTCTTAATTTG